CCCCCCGCCTTTAAGCTACATGCAGATACAGAGGAGCCTTCCCCCCCACTCCGGCCTTAAGGTCTGTGTAGAAATGGGCTAGAGAGGCAAAAAACAAAAACTTCACTTGAGGGGCATAAATAATAGAGTATTATGCCATTACTGATGTATTAATTAAGCACCAATTAAGCCTTAGTTACATACTGATGTCATGTCCCTCCTTAAAGAATGGTGAGGCATTTTCTAAAGTAACAAGCATATTTCTTCATGGTTTGTACTTCACTAGTAACTAAGTCACTACCAAGTGTTTGTGTGTGTGTGTGTAAATTGTTGATATTAATGAAAGCAATGTTAATTTGCTTGCTGTGAGACGCACACACCAAAAAGCCTCAAAAAGGTCTCTTAAGACAAATAATGTATGATATACGTGGGGCGATATGCATAATGGATATTTTTATTAAAACCATCCATGAAGAGGTAAGACATGATGACATCACAGATAAAGCAAAGAGACGGCAGATATTAAAGCTGAAGGTCTCCTGAATCCCTGCTTGCAGGATTCTCTCTGAATGAGCCCCCAAAGGCTACCCCCCCCCAGGGGGACTTTGGGGGTGAGGAGGGGCCGCCCCCCTGGACGTCGCCCTCCCCCGCAGGGTCCCCCAGGCCAGAGCGAGGACTGTGCGCCGGACCCCCCAAGATCACCCACAGAGCCCTGCTGGGTGGGGGGCTGCTGCTTGCAGCAGTCGCTCTGGGTTGTCCTTTGGAGATCCTCCCAAAAGTGCCCCCCCGGACGAGTCTACTGGCACTGGAGACCGAGCCGCAGGCTGGGGCGACCTCGCCCCTTCGGAGCCCCCCCACCGTGGACGACCTGATCACCTTCTCCTACTCGGACTCCGCCCCAATGCCGGACTTCGCCCCCGCCTCAGAGCGCACCCCCCTGCCTCTTCACTTTTGTGATACCCCCGCCCACGGACAGCTCCGGGTGTGCCAGGACAGTTCCGGAAACTTCCAGGAGAAGCGGGCTGTCGATGAGCCCCGAGTCACCAGGGAGCTGGGGAGCAGAGCGTGGGGCCTCAGCACCGACAGGAGGCGAAAGCCCAGCCAGGAGCTCCTGCCCCCTCACTCAGGTCAGGCTCTCCTGATTTTCGCTTGCACCTCCCGATTTTTATGGCTCCTGACTCTTCTTACTGAAGTCATTTATCTTGTGTGCACTTTTGCTGTTTGTTTAAACAGTAACGATGGACTAATACAGAGTAAGGGATGTATTATAAGCCAGGAGCGTGTTTCCTACTGAGGAAGGCCCTCTGTTAGCCTTGAGTGCTGCAAACCAGTTACCAGGAGTATGTGCTCAGCAGAGCGCCGAGAACGGGTTAAGTACGCAGGGCAGGCCTCACTCCCCTATCCTCTGTGGTCGTGTGGATGAAATGATGTTTGCGAAGAGGCCTGCTCTCGCGTCAAGGACAAACCGCTTCTGCCTGCGTTGTTGATCTGTGTTATAGTGTAAATAGTAAAACGTCATTTAGCCCCATATTTTAAAGGTGTTCTTCTTCTTTAGGTTGCACTGAGATCATAGAGGGTGAGTTTTGTTACATTGGTCATGCAAATTCATGTTTATTGATATTGATTATTGACTAGTAGGAATATTCCTTGGCATGTTTTGAATGGGCAGATAAAGGCAAGGCCTCAGGTGACTCTCTGACGATGCTTCTCTCTCTCGCTGAAGGCCTGGACCTCCCCATGTGCTCGCAGGAGGATTCGGAACAGCAGGCAGCACCTCATTCGCTGCTCCTCGACTCCCGGCTCTGGGGCCCCAAGACGCGCAGGGTGGAGGTCAGCGTCATCCCCCGTCCGCGCCCCTCCCCCGTCAGGCCCCGCATTGACCCATGGAGTTTCGTCTCGGCCGGAGGGGCGGGCCCTGGGCCTCTGTGCCGCCCCCCGCATCGACGCTCTTCGGCGAATCCCTTCACGGACTGCGATCCCTTTCCTCCCCTGAACCATGACCCCTCCGGGACTCTGGGACACGAACCCGACCCCTTCTGCGTCCCCTTCGGCACCTCCCGCTCGGCGCCGGGCTCCACCAGTGCCAGTCCCTCCCTGTCCGCCCTGAGAGCGGGGCCTTTCTCTCCAACGCTAGACTCTCCCTACATCGATCTCGGCTGGAGCCCCCTGCTGGACCCCAGCGAAGGAAAGAAGAAGCGGAGGAGGCAGCTGGTGACGGGTCTGGAGCCGTGGATGTCCCCTACGCAGCACGGAACCGACCGCTTCTGACAAGGCCCGGGCTGGCTCTCTGTTCCGGAGAAGCCGTGGTCAGAACCGGCTGAACGATGGGACCGCAGATAATGTCTCGTATTCATTAGGAAGGCAAATAATGTAATTTGCATAAATGAGAGATTTGGAAATAATTAAGCTGGGTTGATTCCAGTGATTTGGTCACTATTTTTCCTTCTCCTGCTGAGATTTAAACCAGCAGCCTTTCCCCAAAAGATCCGGGCTCAGCCGCACGTGAGCTGAAGGCAGCGCGGTCCCTCTCCGTCCGGAGACACATCTCGCCGGCCTGCCCTGGAATACCGCTGAAGTTATACCTTAGGTATAGCTGAATATGTGCAAGAACCTACAGGCAGATTTCTATTGTGGAAAAACAAAGAAAAAACACAGGAATAATATTTAGCGGCGCGCCCAACAAACTGTGTGTAGGTGCCAAATGTTTGCTGTTGCCTTGGAGAGATTTGCATCCTGAAAATAATAAGCATTCCAAGCGGGAGATTTAAAACAGTCTGATGACAGTCTGCATTCAGGGTCTAGGGTAGAGAAACGCGAAACGTCGCCGCAGCCAGTCGCCCTTCAGTATTGCCGGCATTCTCTCCGATAATTTCGGCTCAGGAATGGGAAGTTCCGGTCCCTGGTTTCGAGTAGCTGTGCTTTCCGTGACTCAGCTCTCATTTCTTGGCCAGGAAGTAAAGACACGTTACCAGTCTGAGCTTCTAAAATTAGCTGCTTATTGGTAGAACGCTGGGGTGGTCAGCTCTGGCCCGGCTTCAGACGCAGGAGCCGTCGGCTGGTCCTGGGTACGTTTATGGTGCAGCTGTGCATTCTGCAGAACTTCTGTTCCCAGTCCCAGGAAGCACCAATCCTCCGAGCAGAGTGGGACCCCTGACTCCAACAATGTGGCCTTTTCACAATGCATCTCATGCATAATTGTTACACACTTGCTCTCAGGGGGGGTGACCCTCTGTTTACAAAGGAGTTATCTACATATAATCATTTTTTGCCCCTCCCCCCTAGGATGCTTTGTTTATGTAAAATAGCCTTCGTTCTCTTTGTCTGGCCCCTTGCTTTGTGCCAAAGATGCCGCCCCTTCTGCTCGTCGCAGACGGGCCTTGCCACGCTCTGTCATGCACTGCCACACCCTGCCACGCACTGCCACGCACTGCCACGCCCTGCCACGCACTGCCACGCCCTGCCACGCACTGCCACGCCCTGCCACGCACTTCCACGGCCTGCCACGCACTGCCACGCTCTGCCACGCCCTGCCATGCACTTCCACGCACTGCCACGCACTGCCACGCTCTGCCACGCACTGCCACGCCCTGCCATGCACTTCCACGCCCTGCCACGCTCTGCCACGCACTGCCACGTCCTGCCACGCACTGGCACGCTCTGCCACGCACTGCCACGCTCTGCCACGCACTTCCACGCCCTGCCACGCCCTGCCATGCACTTCCACGCCCTGCCACGCTCTGCCATGCACTTCCACGCCCTGCCACGCCTTGCCTTGCTGTGCGCTGCCCATCCGCAGGAGGGTACAGCGCTTCCCATATTTATTTATTTATGTCAGATATTTTTGAGCGACTGTTAATGTTCAGAGAAGCTTTAACCATGCCCCCCCCCCCAGATCACTACAGTGATGCCCACGCCATGGGGGCAAAGCAAAATGGCTGCACAGAACTGACGCGGGTGCCACATATCGAGGATCTAGGATTTGCATTCCTATTAGTATATATATATATATATTTTTTAAAAAACTATTTATACTGTCAGTGCTTACATGCATTTTATTTACATGACTGACTTGTATAATGGCATACTTGAATTTGTTTTTTTCCCCTTAGGGGGCCTGGAATTGGGATCATTTAAATTCTGAATGTTTGCCAGTGGCTCCAGTTCTTAAGGAAGCTCTTTAAAAAAGTTTTATTTACTCACGGCTACATAAAAGCGACCTCACTGTATCCACCACCAGGCAGTTGACCTCGCTATGATTCTAAAAATTCCACTCCGAGGTTGTTTGTTTTTTTTTTCTATTCTGCCTGTTTTCCATCCAAATCCGCTTATTGTTCCTTTTTAAATTTAGCAGCAGAAAGGGATTTTCACGAAGTCCGGCTTGGCTCGCGTTCAAGAAATTCTTAGCTAGGGTTGA